GTAAAAGAATGAAAAAAGATATTCCATTCAAATAGTAACAAAAAGAGAGCAGGAATGGCTATTTTAACATGAGAAAAAAGTTGAAAAAGTTTACAAAAGTCATGGAAGGCTATTATATAATAAAAGGTACAATACAGCAAGAAGAGAGAACAATTACAAACATTTAGGCACCTAATACCATGCCAGCAAAATATATCAAGCAAAAACAGAAATAAAGAGAGAAATAGACACCTCTAAAATAATTAGAGACTTCAATATCCCATTCTCAGTAACAAATAGAACCAGACAGACGGTAAGTAAGGAGCACAGGTCTTAATACAATAAAACAATTAAATCTAACATATACAGAACATACTACCCAACAGCAACAACAGCATATATATTCTCATGTGCACATTAAATATTTTACAGCATAGATCATATGTTAGGCCACAAATTAAGTTTCAATAGATTTAAAAAGATAAATATCATACAAGTATCTTCTCAGACCACAATAGGATAAAGTTAGAAAACAACAACAGAAGTGAAATTGGAAAATACACAAATTTGTACATATTAAGCAACATGCTCTTAAACAATCAATGGGCCAGAGAACAAATCATAAGGGAAACCAGACAATACTTAGAGATGAATAAAACAAAAACACAACATACTAAAACTTGTGGGGTGTGGTGAAAGTAGTGTTAAGAGGGAAATTTATAAATGCTTACATTTTAGGAAATAAAGATTAGTTCAACAAAATAGAGAGCAGAAAAATAGAGAAATATTTATGAAATAAAAAGTTGGTTCTCTGGAAAGATCTACAAAATTATCAAACCTTTAGATGGATGGGCTAATAAGAAAAAAAGAAGACTCAAATCACTAAAAACAGAAATTAACGTGGGAACATTACTATTGATTCTATAGAAATAAAGATTATAAGACAGTACTATAAACAACTATATGACAACAAACTGGATAACCTACATGAAATGGACAAAGTCCTAGAAAACTAAAACCTCTTTATACTAAATCATGAAGAAATAGGAAATCTGAACAGACCTAAAAGTTGAATTAGTAATGAAAAATCTCCCAATAAAGAAAACCCCTCGATCTGATGGCCTCACTGGAGAAATCTATCAAACACTTAAAGAAAAACTAATACCATCCTTTTCAAAATTTTACCAAAAATGAAAATGTAGGGAATACTTCCTAACTCATTTATAAGGTCAACATTACCCTGATACCAAACCCAGACAAAGACACTACAAGAGAAATATAGACCAATATCCCCTATGAACACGAATGCAAACATCCTCAACAAAATACTGGAAAACTGAATTCAGTAGTATATTAAAAGGACTATATATACATCATGACCAAGTGGAGTTTATTTCTGGAATGCAAGGATGGTTCAACACAGAAAAATTGATCTATGTAATATGAAGGGAAAAATACCCACATGCTCATTTCAATTGATACAGAAAGAGCATTCGACAAAATTCAACACAATTTCATTATAAAAACACTCAACAAACTAAGAATAGAAAGAAACCACCTCAACATAATAAATGCCATATATGAAAAATCTATAGCAAACATCATATTCAATGGTGAAAGACTGAACACTTTCCCTCTAGATCAGGTACAAGGTCAGGATGTCCACCTTCCTTGCTTTTCTCCAATATAATACTGGTAGTTCTAACCAGAGCAATTAGACAGGAGAATTAGACAGTTTCCATCTAAACTAGAAAGCACGAAGCAAAATTACCGCTCCTCACAGATATGATCTTTCATATAGAACACAAAGATTCTACAAAAAGAGGTTACAACCAATATGTTAATACAGCAAAGTAGCAGGACACAAAGTTAACACAAATTTCACTGTATTTCTATATATTAATAATTAACAATCTGAAAAGGAAACTATAAAAGCAATTCCTTTTACAATAGCATCAAAAATATAAAATACTTAAGAATGAACTTATCCAAAGACATGAAATACTTTACAATGAAAACTACAAATCATTGCTGAAAAAAATAAAAAACATAAATAAATGGAAACATCACATGCTCATTGAGAGGAACCCCTAATATTGTTAAGATGTCAATACTACCAAAAGTTATCTACAGATTCAATGCAATTCCTATCAAACTCCTGATGATGATTTTTTCAGAAATAGAAAAATCCCATCCTAAAATTTATATAGAATCTCAAGGGACCCCCAAATAGCCAAAACAATCTTGAAAAGGAAGAATAGAGCAGGAAAGCTCAGACTTCCTGATTTCAAAACTTACTACAAGGATCAAAACAGTATGGTACTGGCATAATGACAGATACACAGATCAAAGTAATAGAGCTCAGAAATAAAACCTCACATACATGGTCAAATGCTTTTTGGCATGGGTGCCAAGACCATTCAATGGAGAAAGAATAGTTTTTCCAGCAAATGCTGGGAAAACTGGATATCATATGTGAAAGACTGAAGTTGGACCCTTATCTAACACCATATACAAAAATTACCTCTCAGTGGATCAAAGATTTAAGTAGATAAGACCTAAAACTATAAAAATCTTAGAAGAAAACAGGGCAAAAGCTACATTACACTGGATTTGGCAGTAACTTCTTGGGTATGACATCAGAGGCACAGGTGACAAAGGAAAGAATAGATAAACTGGACTTCATAAAATTTCATACATTTAAAAATATTAAAAGACACTATCCACAGAATAAAAAGGCAACCCACAAAAAGGAAAAATTATTTGTAAATCATATCCTGATAAAATATACTTAGAAGTCCAAAAACTCAACAACAAAAAAATATACAACTTGATTTTAAAATGAACTTGAATAGACATTTCTCCAAAGAAGATACACCAATGACAAATAAGCTGCTATACATCATTAATCATTGGGGAAATGTAAACCCAAACTACAATGAGATACTACCTCATACCCATTAGGATGGCTACTATCAAGAAAAACAAAATAACAAATGTTGAAAATATGGAGAAACTGGAACTCTTGTGTACTATTGGTAAGAATGTAAAATGCTACGGTTGCTGTGGAAAACAATATGATAGTTCCTCAAAAAATTAAAAATAGATTTAACATATAACCCAGCAATTCCACTTCTGGGTATATATTCAAAAGAACTCAAAGCAGGATCTTGGAGAGATATTTATACACCCATGTTCAGGACATTATTTACAATAGCTAAAACATGGAAGCAACCCATGTCCATTAACTGATGAATGAATAAGCAAAAGGTGGTGCATACATATACTGGAACATTATTTAATCTTAGGAAGAAAGGATATTTTAACATATGCTACAATACAAACCTTGAGGACATTTTGTTAAGTGAAATAAACCAGTCACAGAAGGACAAATATTGTGTGATTCCACTTATATGAGGTACTTAAATAGTCAAAAATCAGAACAAAAAGCAAAACTATGATTGCCAGGGGTTGGAAGAGTTTGAAGGGAGACTGAGAGGTTATCATTTTATGGGTAAAGAGTTTTATTTCAACAAAATGAAAAGAGTTATGGAGATGGATGGTGCTGATGGCTGCACAACATTATTGAATGTATTTACTATCATTGAACACTGGACTGCAAACTTTTTTTTAAAAGGTTACTATGATAAATTTTATGTCAGGTGTATTTTGCAATAAAAATAATTTTTAAAAAACAATAAAAAAGTATTCAAACCTCAGAAACAAATCTCTGGAAGGAGAATAATAGAGACTTATAACCAAAGTTTTGAAAAACTCCTTGTAATAGTGTGTCTCCAATCAATATGCTTCACCTTCTTTTCTCTATGCAAAGTTATAGGATACCCCCTCCCCAATCTACCCCCAGGTATTTATGTTCCAAATTTCCTCTTCTTTGTAACTTACTTTTATAATACACAACAAGAATTATAAAATTGCTGATAGTCTTTAAATACAGAAGCCCATTTATGGAAATATACGTTATGAGGCTGAAAGAGATGCAGAAGATTACGTTCATCACAACATAATTTATAATAGTAAAAAAAAATGAAACTATTTGAGAAAATATCTCATAAATTATGATTTGTTAACTTAATGGAATATTATATTCAAAGCCTAAAGGACAGCAGGAAATAGCTATTATAGGAGGCATGATTATGGATGCTATTTTAAAAATACCTGAATGTCATAATCTGTTTTTAACAATGAAATCTGGAAAAAGAAACACTCTAGAGTTTAAACAAAGTGTAAAGACTACAGCAGAAAGTAATTTTTCTTTAGCTATCTGAAGGAAATTGAGAATAAGAGAAAAGGAAATGCCCTTATTGACCTTCCCTCCAGCCTTTCCTGCTGCTAATTCCCTGACAGTGAATCCTAGCCAACATTTTAAAGGGCAACCTATACAGAAATGGAATCAACAGTCAGATTTCCTCTAATAGGTGGAAAGGTTATACACCAAAAAAAAAAAAAAAAAAAAAAAATTTCTCAAATAGAAGCCGTGACAAGACCCATTCAGTAAAAAAACAACACAAAACAAACAAAAAAACCCCCACACCTCTTCAAAATGTGATCTGAAAAATTATTTTCAATCTAAAAATTTACATTAATTTTTTAAAATTCCTGAGACAGAAAAGATGGGATTTCCCATGCACATATACAATGTGAATCTTGGTAACTGTCTCAAGCTAAGATATTAACAATGCATTATGCTGTTTAGAATACAGCTAAAAAAAAGTATGACAAAATGAGCACAAAGGATGGAAGGGAGAAATTGGAGGGATAACCTTCTTACACAATAGAAGAAACATTAAAATATTATTGAAGGTAACTGTATTAAGTTAAAGATCTATATTTCACTCCCTAGGGAATCATGTAAAGAATTTTTAATGGGGTATAGTTAATAAGCCAATAGTAGAAATAAAGTGGATGATAATAAAAATAATCTAAAAGAAGACAGAAAAACAGATAAAAAGAAGAAAGAAGAGACGGGACAAACAAAAATAAGATGAATTCAAGTCCTGACTCGTGTGGCTCAGCTAGTTGGTCATCATGCGGAGCGAAGGGTCACTGGTTCAACTGCTGGTCAGGGCACATGCCTGGGTAGCAGTCTTGGCCCCCATCAGGGCATGTATGGGAAGCAACCAATTGGTGTTTCTCTCTCACATTGATGTTTCTCTCCTTTTCTTTTTTCTTCCCTTCCCTTCTCTCTAAAAATAAAATAAAATATTTTCTTTTTTTAAAAAAGATGAATTCAAGAACTGTGATGTTATCTGAAATTTTACCCTAGTTGCAAGCTAACAAGTAGACCTGCAACACTTTCACGAATGTTGGTATAAGACATGAGACATTTGTTCCAAAGTGTTGAGCTCAGTTCAGGTTAATTAAACTTTGTTAATTAAACTTTGGGACATTAAAACATGGGCTTAGGAGAGATGATTGGATAGAAAGCATTGCTCTATTCATTTACCTCCCTGCCTACAAAAATTAAAATTAAAAAAAAATGAAAATTAAAAAAAAAAAAGACATAAGACATTTGGATCACAGAAGGGCAGTTTATTGCTCACATCAGTGGCAGTATCCAGAGTATCAGCATTTTTGTACCAGTTCCCCAAATACCAGTTCCCACAGAGCAATACAACTAGAGTCAAGTGATATGCATGCAGTGGGTGGTGTTATAACAGAAAAACCCTGAATTTGGAGAACCGAATTTTTTATGTGGGCAGTAAGCAATGTCTGCTCCTTGCTCTAGAGGAGATATTATCTATCTTCCAAAGGTTGTCTGCCTAGTAAACATCCTTGAAAAGATAATAACAAAGAATAGTCAGTATCTTGCTTGTAAGTCATGCAGTAATGCAAGAGACTATGAAGAACTGTCTCTCATCACATGGCAGATTTATACCAACCATATCAATAATTACATTGAAGGTAAATGATTTAAATATCCTAATTAAAAAGCAGATTGTAAGAGTGGACCCCAACTATATAATACCTGCAATAAACCCATTTTGTTCGGTAATGGTGAAGATGAGTAGACAGATAATTAACAAGGATATAGAAAACTTGAACAACACTATATTCACCAGTTTGACCAGACATTTACAAAATATTTCCTCCAACAACAGCAGGACACGTACTCCTTTTAATTACATGTGGCATAGTCACCAAGACAGACCATGTTGTGGACTATCAAACAAACCTAACAAATTTAAAATAATTGAAGCCATATAAAGTATATTATCTGAACACAATAGAATTAAACTAGAAATCAATAACAAAAAGATGGCTAGATAATCCCCAAGTATTTGGAAATTAAAAAACACACTCCTAAATAACTCATGAATAATTAAACAAGCCAACTAAGGATATTTTGACCTTAATAAAATGAAAGAGCAACATATCAAAATTTGTAAGACATGATAAAATACTTCTATTAAAATACATGAAATGTTGACTTCTGGTCAAGACGGCCAAGTACGTAAATACTGTGCTCACCTACTCCCATGGGATTTCCCAAGCAGACCACTTCAAACTTACAGCTAAACTACAGAACAACCATCATTGAGAACTGCCTGAAGACTAGCTGAACAGTAACTAAGACTATACAGAATAAGCTACACTGAGCAAGGCAGGAGGGGCAGAGGCTCAGAACCGGGTGCTCCCACACCCATATGTGGTAGTTAAGAATTTGGAGGGATAACTCCACTGCAGAGTTCCCTCCCATGAGGACTGAGGAGTCTCAGCCCCACACCACGCTCCCCAGCCCAGGGCCAGGAAGAGAAGTCCCCATAACTTCTGGTTGTGAAAACCAGAGAGACTGTGGCTGAGTGAGACAAAGGACTGCTAGGGTCCCAGGTGTTCCTCTTCAAGGGCCCACACATGGATTTACTATGCCGAGGACTCATTCGGTCTGAGATCCAGTGCTGGGGCAGTAGGTAGAAAGGCACTGGGGACATATTGTACAAGGAGGAACTGAATCATTTGGCATCAGAGCAAGGGCTGGAGAGGCAGCTTTCCCCCAAACAGAAGTGCTGGTAAAGGCCATCATTCCGTAGTTGAGCCCTCCTGAATCCATCCTGTAGGCACAGGAGGGAGAAGATCTAAGTCACTGTCAACTTAACTAACACCATTAACTCCACTCTGGTGACTCCCTGAGACCTGGCCCAGCCCAGCTTGCTGGGCCCATCAAAGCTGCTTCCAGTGGCTTTTCCATACAAAAGGCCTATCTTGGCTCATGCTGCACACTTTCTTAAAATCTCTCAAACGTTCACAAACCCCAAATAAGCAGCAGTTAGTCTTGGCATGCCCCAGACCTCTTGCTAAGCAGCCCCAAGCCTGGCACTAGCAGTAGTCAGCTTCATCACAGCTAAGCCTCTCCCAGGCACCTCCAAGCCCAGCACAAGTGATAACCATCTGCAGGTCACTTTGTAGCTCATACAAAGTAGTCCCTGGCAGGGCATGCACAAGAACCCTGCACAAGAAACCGCAAAACCAACACACCCAGTGGCCAGCTTCAGACCACACCAGAGTACCATTAGATCACATCCACAAATGTCACACCCAAAGGGAAGAATCAGCAGGCACCTGAGTGAATCCTGCTCCATAAGCTCAGTCCCTACACAAAAGCTCCTCCACTATAATCGCAGCCAGTCTTCATAACCAATCAGCCTGAGTGTCAATCTCTTCCATTGATGTGCCAACAACAATCAAGGCTCAACTACAGCAGAAAGGAATGAACAGCCCACTTAAGGGACAAATCTGAAGCACCCAGCTCAGGTACCAGGGAGACTGTGCCACTGGGCCCCACAGAATACCTACTACGGAAGGCCCCTCTACCAAGACTGGGAGATGTAGCAGCTCTACCTAATACATAGAAACAAATATAGAGAGGCAGCCAAAATGAGGAGACAAAGAAACATATTCCAAATGAAAGAACATAACAAAATTCCAGAAAAAGAACTAACAAAATGAAGAGAAGAATCTACCAGATGCACAGTTCAGAACCCTGGTAATAAGCATGCTCAATGATCTCAGGGAGAGCTTCAACAGAGAGGAAACAAAAATGGAGAGAGAAAACACAAAAATTAACCAGTCAGAAAAGAAGATTACAATAACTGAAATGAAGAATACATAAGAGGCCTTGGCTGTGTGGCTCAGTTGGTTGGATCATCATCCTGTACACCAAAACGTTATAAGTTCAATCCCCGGTCAGGGTACATACCTAAATTGCAGGTTCGATCCCTGGTTGTGGTGCATATGGGAGGCAACTGATTGATCTTTCCCTCTTGTATCAATGTTTCTCTCTCTCTCTGTCTCTCCCCCTTCCTCTCCATCTAAAATCAGTAAAAACATATCCTTGGGTGAGGATTTAAAACAAACAAACAAAAAAAGAATACATAAGAGGGAATCAACATTAGAGTAGATGGAGCAGATGACTGAATCAGCAATTTGGATGATAATGTGACAGAAAGCACTCAATGAGAACAGCAAAAAGAAAAAAAAAATCCAAAAAATGAGGATAGTTTACAGGGCCTCTGGGACTACATCAAACATACCAACATTCACATGATAGGGGTACCAGAAGACAAAGAGAGCAAGGAATTGAAAAGCTATTTAAAGAAATAATGACAGAAAACCTCCTCAGCCAGGTGAAGGAAATAAACATAAAAGCCCAGGAAGTGCAGGGAGTCCTAAACAAGATGAACACAAATAGGCCCACACCAAGACATAATTAAAATGCCAAAGTTAAAGACAGAGAGAATCATAAGAGCAGCAAAAGAAAAGCAGTTAATTACATACAAGATAAGATAAGACAATCAGCTGATTCCTCAACAGAACCTTTGCAGGCTAGAAGGGATATGCATGAAATACTCAGTGATGAAAAACAAGAACTTACAACCAAGATTACTCTGCCCAGCAAGGCTATCATTGAGAATCAAAGGACATATTAAGAGCTTTCCAGACAAGAAAATGCTTAGGAGTTCATCACCACCAAACCAGAATTACAGGAAATGTTAAAGGACTTAAGAAGAAAAAAAATTAAAAATATGAATAAAGTGGAGGTAAGTATATATCTATCAACTATTATTTTAAATGTAAATAGTTTAAATAATCCAATAAAAAGAAATAGGGTGGCTGAATAAATTAAAAAAACAAGACCCTTACAGAAGCTACCCTTACATAAGAGACTGGCTTCAGATAGACATACACAGACTGCAAGTAAAGGTATTGAAAAAAGATTTTATGAAAATGGGAAAAAAAGCTGGTAGCAATACTTATATCAGACAAAAAGGAATTTGAAACAAAGGCTATAACAGAGACAAAGAAGGACCCAGTAATTCCACTTCTGGGTATTTATCGGAAGAAACTCAAAACATTAATTTGAAAAGGCATATGTGCCCATATGCTCACTGCAGTATTATTTACAATAGCCAAGATATGTAAACAACCTAAGGTCCATCAACAGATGAACGGATAAAGAAAGGGGGTACATATACAAAATCTGTCCAGAAAGTATCCATCCATGCACTGTGAAAAATAGAGACATTTACTAAAAAAGATACAAGAAACATTGTATATAGGACGATGATGCCTCAGTTCCTTTCAAAGTAGGCAACTTGGGACCTCTGTTCTCGCAATCGCCATCAGCTGTCCCTCATATTTTCCTGAATCTCATTGACAGTCTGAAATTTCATTCCTGTCAAAGGTGATTTTAGTTTTGAGAAAATCCAGAAGTCGCAGGGTGCTAAATCTGGGCTGTAGGGGTGCTGAGTCTACTGGGTGATTTGATGTTTCACAAAAAACTCTGCACAAGACATGATGCATGAGGGAGCATGTTGTCATGATGAAGCTGCCAGTCACTAGTTGCCCATAGCTGCAGCCTTCTGAATTATCTGAATAGTTTCCATGGAGGAATGTTCAAGCTTAATGCAAAATCTGATGCAGATTTGTTGCTCTACTCACTCAGTTATTTTGAGTGCAACAGTCACATAGTACATGTGCTCACTCAACGGCATCAACCACGTCTACTGCCCCCACTGACTAGTACAGAGAAATTGTCATTATTCATGCACATGCATTCCAGTCCACTCTCCTTGGCTGTCAGGTTACGTCAATGCTGCGCAAACCATTCTATTAACAATGGTTTGAGTTTTTCTGGACAGACCTCATATGCAATGAAATACTATTCAGCCGGCAGTTCTTGCCATCTGCAACAACATGGATGGAACTAGAGGGCATTATGCTAACTGGAGTAAGTCATTCAGAGGACAATTACCACATAATTTCACTTATATGTGGAATCCTGGAAACAAAATAAATGAACAAACAAAACAGAAACAAATTCATAGGTACAGAGAACATTCTGATGGTTGCTCAATCGGAGGGGCTTGGAGGGTATGGATAAAAATGGGGAAGGAAGTAAGAAGTATAAATTTGGTAGTTACAAAACAGTCATGGGAATGTAAAGTACAGTATAGGGAATATAGTCAATAATAATGTAATAATTATGTATGGTGCCAGATGGATACTAGCTTTATCTGGGTGATCACAAATTGTACACTTGAAACTATATGATGATATGTATTAGCTACAAATGAAAATTTTTTTAATATTTTAAAAATATAAGAAAAAATGAAGATAAAAAAATGAGATTTTCTTATCAATAATCCACGTCTCTACCTTAAAAAAAAGAAAAAGATCAAATTAAACCCAGAGCAAGCAGACTGAAGAAATTGATAAAGAGCAGAAACTGATGAAATTAAAAATAGCAAAACATTAGAGGAAAATTAATTAAATGAAAAGCTGGTTCTTTGAGAAGTTCACTTTAAAAAAGTGATAAATTTCTGACCAGATATCAAGAAAAAAAGGACATAAATTACCCATAGTAGAAATTAAAGAGAAGGCATCTCTACAGATCTTATGGGCATTAAAAGAATAAGGAAATATTATGAACAACTTTATGCTAACAAATGTGATAGCTTAGGTGAAATTGAAAAACTATTTAAAAAACAGAAATCCCACCACTCAATCTATTAATGTAATTGAATTAGTAGTAAAAACCTTTCACCACAAAAACAAGCTATAGAGAAAACTGAACTTAGGGAACAGTGAGTTATCTGTTTTGAATATAGAGAAGTATTCTTATAGGGGAGTACTGGGAAATAAAGCTGAAGTCCTGGGAGATAAGGTAGACTGTAAGAAAGCACTGAGTCAGGCTAATGACTTCAACTCCTATGGTATAGGCAAAGGCTTTTTCAGTGTGCTCCAGACCACTCTCTGCATTTTTTAAATGCTACTTAATTCTTTAATATTTATACATTGCCTTATACTCTCTTCTCTGTTGCATATATGTGTAATACATTTCCCTAAGCAAGTCCATAAGTTCCTCAGGATGGGTCACATAATGATTTCCAAGTCAGGAGGGAAAATTACAGAAACCTTCCGGGTCAAATGGCTTCACAGATGAAATATACCAAAGATTTAAGGAAGGAATTATATCAACCCTATTAAGTTCTTCCAAAAAGTAAAAGATGAGGGAACATTTACCAACTTCTATAAAACTATTGCCTAAAACCAGGCAAAAAATATTTACAAGAAAACTATCGACCAAAATGCCTCATGAGCATAGACACAAAAATCCTTAAACCAATAAGATAACTGAATTCAGCAATATATAAAATGGGCAATACACCATGACTAAGTGGTGTTTATCTCAGAAATGCAAGATTAGTTGAACACTGAAGAAAACTGTCAATGCAATTTACCTTATCAGACTATATCATAAAAACCATATGATCATATAAAAAGATGCAGACAAAAGGGTAACAAAATTCAACATACCTTCAAGATAAAACTCTAAGCAAATTAGACTTGAAGGAAACTTAATAAAGGGACATATACAAAAACCTACAATTTTATCATATTTTTTAAAAATATACATTTTATTGATTATGCTGTTACAGTTGTCCTGATTTTCTCCCTTACTCCTCCTCCACTTGGCACCCCCCTTCCCTGCAGCAATTCCCCTCCCCCTTATTTATGGGTCCATGCATATGTATTCATGTCTATGGGTCATGCATATGCGTTCTTTGGCTTCTCCATTTCTTATACTAGTCTTGAAATCCACCTGTTTATTTTGTACCTACACATTATGATTCTTAATTCTTGCACCTTTTCCATCATTCTCCCCCTTCCCTCTCCCAGGTGATAACCTTCCAAATGATCTCTGTTCTGAATCTGTTCCTGTTCTGGTTTTTTGTTTAGTTTGTTTGTTTGGATTCAGTTGATAATTGTGAATATTGTCATTTTAGTGTTCTTAGTTTTGATTTTCTTCTTTTTCATAAATAAGTCCCTTTAACATTTCATGTAATAATGGCTTGGTAATGATGAACTAACTCCTTGAGCTTTACCTTGTCTTGGAAGCACTTTTTCTGCCCTTCCCTTGTAAACTATAGCTTTGCTGGATACAGTTATCTAAGTTGTAGGTCCTTGCTTTTCATCACTTTGAATACTTCTTGCCAGGCCCTTCTTGCCTGCAAAGTTTCCTTTGAGAAATCAGCTGATATTCTTATGGGAACTCCTTTGTAGGTAACTGCTTTTCTCTTGCTGCTTTTTATATTTTTTTCTCTATCTTTAACCTTTGGCATTTTAATTATGATGTGCCTTTGTGTGGTCGTCTTTGGGTCAAACTTGTTTGGGATTCTCTGTGCTTCCTAGACTTGTATGTCTATTTCATTTACCAAATTAGGAAAGTTTTCCTTAATTATTTTTTCAAATAAGTTTTCAATTTTTTGCTGTTCCTCTTCTTCTGGCACCCCTATGATTCAGGTGTTGGTACATTGAAAGTTGTACCAGAGGTTCCTAAGCCTACCTTTGTTTTTATAAATATTTTTCTTCCTGCTATTCTGATTGCTTTTTCCTTCCGTGTGCTCCAAATTGTTGGTTTTATTCTTAGCTTCCTCCTTTCCACTGTGTGTTCCCCGTAGATTTTTATTTCACTTAGTGTGAACTTCATTTCTTCCCTTATGTTTTTGCAATACTCAATGAGTTCTTTGAGGATCCTGATCACTGGTGTTTTGAACTCTGCACCTGATAGATTGGTTGTCTCCATTTCATTTAGTTCTTTTTCTGGCATTTTGTTCTGATCTTTCATTTGGGCCATATTTCTTTGTCTCATTTTGGCAGGCTTCCTGAGTTTGTTTTTATTGTATAAGGTAGAACTGCTTTGACTCCTTGTATAAGGCAACTGTAAATTGTGTGGGGTGGAGCCTCAAGTAATTGCCAGGGCAGGGCAACCTGCTTTATGCTTTGTGGCTGTGTTGGGGGGAGGGCT